TATCTGAGACTTGAGCCAAAATGCCATTACAGTATCAGTTCGTGATATCACTGTAATGACACATTGGCTCAAGTCTCAGGTAACGCGGTTATCGCCGCTGTTCGCCATAAAATCCAACTCCAATTACACACTGCTTCACCTGATCTGACGAAGCTCTTGGGTCAAGAGCGAAACGTTACCAAACTATTATACCAACCGATTGTTTCCAAACCTCTCTGAACTCATGAGCACTCGATCGATTCCAAGTATCTTCTAAGAATTCGAAACCAAATACGGATCCCCGTGTTCGAGAACTGTTAAGTGAATTCGTTCGATTGACGGACCTTGAAGCGAACTGGGAGAACCACCTCGTTTTCAATATATGTTGTCTTAAGACTAACCTGATCCCCGAATGTCTCACAGTGAAACCTCCGAACAGTACCTACGCCTCTGCAAGGATTGCATTTAATGCTTCTAAGACCTTTCTGAGACAGCAAATTTACCTAGCAAACAAGCGTTTATGCGAGACTCGCATCGAGGCAATTCAGTTGAGTCTGGATGTACAGACGGCCACAGCGCCTCTCGACTACAACCGAATTTTCAATAAGGCTTCAGACGTCAAATTGAAACAACAGTAGGATTCAAAGAAAAGACAACCACGTAATTTCAAGTTTTTAATGTCTGTGCATCCTAATGCTACCGCGCCCACTGAAATTTCCGGGTCTATTGGTAGCTATTGTAATGTAGTTAATATGTTAGATTTGGTTTTGAATGAAACGGAATATAGATTGTTGGAGAAAGGTTTGACATTTACCATCAACAAAGCTAAGGTATACGCGGAATAGATTATCCCAAGAGTTGAGAGCGCGGTGACAAAGTTGGCCGCTGCGAAGGCATAGAATATTCGGGCACAGTTAGCAAATATCATTGTTTCAGCAACCGGGTGAGCCAAATCTTCTGTGAACTGAACGTATCGCATCGAGTTCCTTGAAGGAAGATCGCGACGTTGTATTTGAAAAGGCTGACAAGGTGAAGACACTGGTTGTACTGAATAGGTCAGAATATTTGAAAAAATGGGACAACATTTGGAGACGGGTCCATATAGAGTAGTTATTGATAAAACCGTGACGTCAGTAATGAACAAGAGTAAAACGGAAGTTGGTAATTATATAAGAACCATGAAGGACGATTTAGGGGCAGGCAAGTGGTACAGTATATCCCGAAAATGGACTTGGCCTAAGAGGTTTTAAGGCTTGCCAAAAGTTCACAAACCCGAGGTTCTCGTACGGCCCATAGTCGACAGTATGGGCTCCCCGACTCATGAACCATCTAGATATTTGGCAAAGCTATTGCAGCCTCTAACAGGGCGAACGAGTACATTCGTGAAAACTCTTATAAGTTCGCCCAAAAGATAGCATATCTCGTAATCTTGTCATATGAGTTGATGGTTAACTTTGACGTTACATCATTTTTTACCAAGGTACCCAAAGAAGAAAAGCTAGGAATAGCAAGACGTTATCTAACTGCAGACTTCACTGAGTGATCGGAAGAAAATAACAGTTAACCAGATAATCGAGGGTATGACAGTGTGTCTTAACATGTCTTACTTCGTTTTTTAGTCGAAGAGGTACAGTCATGAACAAGGTCATGCCATGGGATGGTCAATATTCCCTGTATTGGCGAACATGTATATGGAAGACTTCGAGAAAAGGACGTTAACGAACACCATTAACTCATCAAAGTTTGGTAGTGTTATGTAGACGACACCTTTGTACTTGTTAAACGGGATAAGAATAATGAGTTGCTTGATCATTTAAACTTCATTGATGACAGGATACAGTTTGCTATTGAGTTGGAATCTTGTAGCAGCGCAATACCATCTCTTGACTGCCTGGTTCACAGGAATGGGAAGAATTTAAGGACGACTATATCACAAGCCAACAGATACTGACGACATTGTCCACTACGCTTCGGGTCCTCCGAAACAGGTTTACGCTGGGATAGCCTCAGCGCTGTTCTAGAGGGCACAAACCTTGTGCACGATGGAGGAGGATCAAAGCCCCAAGCGAAAAGTGGCAATGATCAAACTATTCGAAAGTGGTTACCCACGGCGGAAAGTCAAGCGCCAAGTGCATGAAGTGCTAAACCGGCAGTCAAGACCCACAAGCGAGTGGGTAGGGACGGTAGGAATTCCGTAAAAGAAACCATTTCGGAGGAAATTCAGAGGGTACTAAACAAGATAAATATAAAGGTGATCTTTTGGTGAGGTCGAACGTTACGTTCGGCACTGGTTCACCTGAAGGACCCCCTTTCCAAGGATAGGACGACTAACTGTGTTTATAAAATCAAAGCTGCGGACTGTGCACATGTTTACATAGGCAAAAGAGCGAGGGAATTACGCACATGAATTTCAGAGCATAATAGACGCATTTCAGCACCACCAAGAAATGAGTTGGAAGACTAGGCAATGGTAAGAGATTACAGAAGAGTAGTAGGGGGAGTTGAATGGTATAGGTAGAAATTCGTCACACCTAGACTCATTCAGACAGCCGCCACACGCCCAGAAAAGCACTGTACGCGCGTTTCATCCTTTTGGGAATCGTCAGAAGTGCGCATTCCACCGGACCCTGGTAGGGCTGGAACCGGCAACTCGACTGTTGCTAGTCAGGGGTTGAGACCACTGAGCTACGGGTAACGGCAACGACCATCGTGAATAAGTTACTAGATGTGATATAGCGCCGAACTCATAAGCGTTTTCACGAATGTACTCGTTCGCCCTGTAAGAGGCTGCAATAGCTTTGCCAAATATCTAGATGGTTCATGAGTCGGGGAGCCCATACTGTCGACTATGGGCCGTACGAGAACCTCGGGTTTGTGAACTTTTGGCAAGCCTTAAAACCTCTTAGGCCAAGTCCATTTTCGGGATATACTGTACCACTTGCCTGCCCCTAAATCGTCCTTCATGGTTCTTATATAATTACCAACTTCCGTTTTACTCTTGTTCATTACTGACGTCACGGTTTTATCAATAACTACTCTATATGGACCCCTCTCCAAATGTTGTCCCATTTTTTCAAATATTCTGACCTATTCAATTGTAAGAGGCTCGGCCGTAGCTGTGCGTTTAATAGACAGGGGTCAACAGATGGACTTGGAAAACCTAGAGGTCATTAGGAGAGGTAAACCAGCAACACCTCAGCGGTTGATTCCCGAGGCGGTGGAAATTGCCAAACCTGACGATTATGTGAATATAATGGAGGGGGTATAATTCTCTACTGCGTGGCCAGCGATCTTAAGCCGGCCAGCTTGACGAGCATCGATGCGTGGATCAGATTGAAAAGTGCAAACCGACTCCCATTGTCAACACTATGGGCCTATCCGTCAATGTCATGACGCAAGAGGAACCCGTGGACTATTCCCGCTATGATTGAACCACCTGAGGTGACAACGAACTGACAACTTGGTTCAGGTCTCGGGTAACGCGCTTATCGCCCCTGTTCGCTATAAACTCCCAATCCAATTACACACTGGTTCACTTGGTCTGACTAACTCTTGCGTCAACGGCAAAACGTTACCAAACTACTATACCAACCGATTGTGTCCAAACCTCTCTGAATATCGGAGGGTATTTAGAAACACTGTAGCCGTTTGTGCATGAAGTCCTTTAGCTGGACTATTTCAGGTTTATGAAGTGGTTGTGCCTGTTTTTAGGTGAACTCCTGAGCGCAATGGTCTGCAGGTTGGCAAACGTCTGTGTAGCTAGTGGGTGGTGTCGTTGCACCCAACAGGTGTGACTTTTGAGTCAGTCTGCCCTGACAACACTGCACCATGGCTCCTTTCCAACATCCCAACGCGGCACAGTTTACTGATAGAGCCTCTGTTACACAGTGTCTAATATTGACCACGGCGATACAGGCATTCATCATCCTCACCGTTATACACGTTAGTTAGATGTGGAAAACATCTCAGCTGTGTTACGCAATGATTGTACAGGCAAGATACAGGAAGGTAGTTTAGCCGGCAGCACCGCAGTTGAAGACAACCTTTGGTCGAAGTCGAGACCTTGCGCGATTATGCGTTGGGACATTCTGACAACGTTGTACAATAAACACAAATATTTTTGATTCTTTAGGCATGTGGTAAAACTGTCTGTTTTTGAATACTTGTCACAAGCAAATGTAATCAACGGACCCACAGTAAACCCTCAGTAATTGCTGTTTGCTTAGGGGGCTGGACACACCCATAAGAATGGTGCACCGCCAGGTTACCGACGCTGTAGGAGAAACCGATGTGGATACACATTACCTACCGGAATGCACGACTACTTGGTAGTCCACTTGGTGGGTCTGAATTTCAGTCCTTTAAACCTTCGCCAATTCATTCCGGTGTCCGTGTTTCGACCTAAAGCGATTCAACTGACATACTTCTTGTGATGAAAGATACTAGTCCATATAGTCTAAGTTTCTTTAAATGATTCAGGATCTCCATGAGGTGCTCCTGCACCGACGAATCCCGACGTTAAAACCTTAGGATGAGTGCGCGACAATCGTAGTCACACAGACCAAGTAATACATTGCCTCAGTAATCCTACCCGGTGGCCATCAAGCTTTATCCCGGTCCTAGTAAGTCGGTACGTTCAGTGGGCATGATATGTTTCTGTCCACCACAATCCAGCCAATTGGTTGGAGAATATGTATACCCTGTATTTCAACTTTCTATAATCGTCAAATCTCAATCAATGTACTTTATTTCTTTCTCCATTTATCCACAAGATATTTCGTTTTATCCATATCACAACGCGTCACTAGAGGACAACTATCATGGTGGACGAACAACTCAAATCCGTGACCAGTGCAACCCGCCTATCAGGCATTCATCGTCAAGCTTCCATTTCGGTTCATCTCAGAGGAAGTAAGCGGTCGGGAGGTTCACTGGCCAGAGCGTATAAATTGGCACAATATTATCGCATCATACCCTGTCTGTATTCTGAGCAAGTAAGTTTTGAACAATCACAGTACCTTGTGTCAAACTTAACGCTGAATTTATTGGTTTGACGTGGTAACTAAGACAAAATAGCATTAATTCAAACGGTGGCCTCACCTAGGTAGAAAATAGTGTTCATTTCTTATCAGCAACAGGAACTAGGGTACAGGCGCATCTGACAGAAATCATTTCCCCCAAATCCACTGGAACTAGACCGGCTTGCTAGGTATCTGAGTTTGTGGCCATCTTATTTAAACCATATAATGTAGTACTTCCATCAGTCTTTGCATGGCTAGCTGAGTGAAGCAGTTGGCATCTCGTGCGAGGATGATCTCAATTAATTGATACTCATACCGCGGTTGGTGTACCGATAGATCGCTTTATATAACTTCTCAAATTAAGGCTGCTGCTGAGGCACAGGAAATCTTGGAGATGATTACGGTCTTGGTCTTAATTGCCCTTGTAAGACAGTCGCGGCCTGCAGCTGATTGCGTCAGTAACACGAGTGCGTGCACGAACTTCTATGCACAAGTAATTAGTGACTTATGACACTCAAAACCACTTACTTGAGCTAAAATATGACGGTGCCTGTTTAGAGTTTCCGAATAGTTAAACGCTTTGGTAAATCTACTAAGCACGCTCAACATGTGATTAACCGACTGACGTCGGGGTTCGATGGAACCGAAGAATACTGCCATGAAATCAGATTGCCAGTGTGCACTTCCTGTACTGAAATCTCATGACCATTTGAGGTAACAGAGAGTCAAGTGAAGTCATTCCTTTTTCCCTATCCGGAATGTGAGTTACTTTCATTACCAGCCTTGGCTCACACTCCATCGCAAGCATATCACTTACTTTCGTAACCATTAGGAAACATCAGATCTCACACACATACCACTGAGACGAGTCGACCTTACCCCGTTCCGTGGTAGAGTTTAGCAAGGTCACTCAAACCGTATCCCTTCATCCTCGACAAGAATTAGCAGTCTCCTCGTTTCACCAATCGTGGTGGTAAAATGTAGGATGATAGTGTCAACAAGCAAATTGTGCGTAGCCGAATTTACCGTATCACCTGACAGTCAATGTCAATCATACGACAACGAATGCTCACTCGTTTACCCATAGCCCAACTTTAACTAAAATACATCACAGTAACACCTGAGCGAAATGTCAGAGTGCTTAGTAAGCGATACTGGGTGCAGGGCCTTTTAGTTGCCATGACGTTTACCAAACCATGTGAACCACGCACCTTTCGACATGTGATCATCATGAGCACACTGGTGGCACATCTGGTAGATAATGTTGAGAACCGCATTCCAGTAACAGCTATTGAGCCGATGCATATTGGCCACTGGATGCGCGATGTGATCACGCCACGCGATGATCGAAAGTCACCAGGTCTAAGCACATGAAATTAAACTTGTTCGTGACAAATGCACCCCGACCAAGTTACTGCTTGCATGAGCTCCATCAGTCCGCACACAATCGAGCTCCCAGCAAAAGCTCCGGCGATCTATACAATCTTTCAGGCTATCATAACAAAGCCATCTAAGGCAGGGATGTCCAAAGTCCGGCCAGTGGCGTCACCATCAAATAATAAATCCAGGCCTGAACTTTTTGTACATGCGTAATTTTTGTTCTTATCTTAATGTCAAACTGAATATAGCCCGACATATTTTTACCTCACCAAATGTGTCCCTTCTTGCAAAATGTTTGGACACCCCTGATCTAAGGTGTCTCCACAGCATCAGCTGCGTATAAACTGCTTCATAAATGGTACTTCCACTATCTCCCTAGTACACACTATGGGTGGGCAAGTTCACCGCGACCGTTGTCGATACACATGTTTCACTTGACGAGGATCTCGCCTACGTAGAGCCCATGCTTCATGACCACCGCATCGTGAATTCGTTGTGTGCATGGACTGGGACGAGCAAAACCCAAAGTCACCGAGCTCAAGTGCCTACTATCTTAGTGCTAAACGCTACACAACAGTTTGATGCAGTGCAATGGTTTAACCACTGATACCTCACGTTCCACGTTGGAACATCATGAATTTAATTTTCTTTTGCATTTCCATCCTGTAGGTCTTAAAAAGTTATGCTTTTTCTCCCACCATACACTATTGAACTATTGAACTTTTGCAAGCAAATTAGTCCGAAATCATCCTTGGAATGCAGTGTTTTCTGGCAAGCAACACCCCACACCATGCTAGCTTCCCGAACAAACTCCTCGTGGTGAGAGATGGGTGGTTCGGGATTATCCCGTTCCAGCGTATGGTTCGGCAGCAGTGTTCGAGGAAGTGGTAGGTTTTCACCTCGCAAGCGCACTCCCGATAAAAAGCCACATACGTCCGCCTAACAACATTGTACGTGGCTGATGTGACCCGTCACTAAATAAAGTCACTGCTCCTTGCTACATACTGGCGAAGCATTGTATTCCAGCAAATTAATGCCGAAATGGTGAGGAGCGTTGGGCCACTGCTTAGCAAATGGACAAATGAAAGGTGAATCAACTGAGCCATCAGTCACCGGCTCCTAATGAGCGCGATAATTTTTATTCGCTCCACTGCCTTGGGGTCCAGCAATTATGCCAAAGGTTCCAGGCGGAGTCCCTCAAGCAAACCTCCGAAGCACAACCGCCATCTCGCGTGCGATTGCCCACCAATGCAATCGTATGCTTGCGCGCAAAGCACTCAAAATCGGGTGCTGGAATGTGCCTACACTATTAAACCGGAACTCGAGTGAGCGACCCGAGCGACACACTGCGATGGTCGCGATGGAACTGGCGCGCTATCACATCGATATTGCGGCGCTCGGTAAGACTCGGCTCACTGAGCAAGGTAAGCAGGTGCTGGCTACACATTCTACTGGGTGAGCAACCCCGCCTCAGCACCACGTGAACATGGGGTCGGATTTACAATACCCGATCGCCTAAATGGCCAGCTCGTGGGTGAACCAACAGGCATCAGCGCGCGACGGATGACGGTTCCCCTACGACTCGGAAGAGGTAAGTTTGCCACCTTTGTCAGCACGTACTGTCCGACCATGTGTTATCCTGATGACACGCGTGATCAATTCTACACTCAGCTATCCTCCGGTGTGGACAGATGTCATCAGTCCGCGTGGCATTGGTTCAGCGAATGCGAACGGTGACAGGCTGCTCTCACTGTGCGCAACTTACGGACTGACGATCACGAACACTCGGTTTGCACTGAGTGTAAGTGATATAGCAACTTGGACGCACCCACGGAGTGGTCACGCTCACCTGCTCGATTATGTCATCGTACGTCAGCATGACATGCGTGAAGTGCGTATGACACGTGTACTGCGTAAAGATGAGTGTGGCACTGATCACAAATTAGTGCGGACTAAATTGTACATCTATTTTCATAAATCTATGTATTGCACCCCCCCCGTGAATCGGAGTCAAGTCAACTTTCTCTCCCTCGGTAGTTTAGAAAAAGCGGTGTCTGCACGCCTGTGTGATGTGGACTGAATAGGCACAGTGGACGAGTTGTGGCACCACATTCGCGAACAGGTGACAGCTGCTACCGAGGAAGACATCGGGCGTACAAACTGTAAGCGGCCTGATTTGTTTGGTGCGAACAATGCGACGATTGGTGCACTGGTGTCGTAGAAGAATGCAGCATTTGCTGCACATGTGGCAGACCTCAGTGACTGGGGGAAGAATAGTCAGATTGGGAAACTTCGACGGCAACTGACCGGAGAGCTCCGTCGCAATTAAAAATGCATGGTGGACAAAGAAGCCGAAGCAGATGGAATGCTACGCCGAACGCCGCTAACCCAAAGAATTCTTTGACTCCTTGAAAGCGGTGTATGGACCGAGGTTGGAGCCTCTGAGGACACTGATCGATGGTAGCTCAAGCGCCACCTGCACACAGACTGCTGACACAATGCAGATCTGGCAAATACACTTTGACTGCCTCTTGAACCACCGTTCAGAGATCGACTAGCCTACATTGAACGACCTGAAGCAGCACAATGTGAAGGCGAGTCTGCCGGACTCGCTGACACTGGATGAGATTTAGAGAGCACTTGCTCAGCTGCGAAACTGCGAGTGTGTCGGTGCCGACGGGATCCCGCCTGAAGTATTGAAACACGGCGGACCCGCGTTGGTGTCTGCGCTGCACCACTTGGTGCAACGCGTATGGATTGAGGAGAAGGTGGCTCCTGAACTGAAGGATGCGCTTGTGCTATCGCCGTACAAGGGCAAAGGGAGCAAGCAATGTTGCACGAATTACCATGGTATCATCTTGCTGAGTTGTGTGGGCAAAGTGATTGCCCGAATCCTGCTCAACCGCCTCTTCAGTCAGGTTGTGGAACATAACGTGGCGGAAGAGCGGTGTGGATTCCGTTCCCGGTCGCAGCACTATAGATATGGTGTTTGCGGCTCGTCAGCTGCAGGAGAAGTGCAGAAAATGACACCAGCCATTTTACCCGCTTTCTGTTGATTTCACCAAGGCATTTAATACGGTGAAACACAAGGCACTGTGGCTGGTGTTGAATAAGTTTGGTTGCCCGCCTAAGTTTGTAAGTTTAATTGAATGTCTGCACAGTGGCATACGAGCGAGGCTCCGGGTGAGTAGAGAGACCACGGATGACTTTGCAGTTGTCTGTGGTGTGAAGCAAGGCTGTGTCTTAGCTCCTGCCCTTTTTAATATATATCTTCATGCAATGTTGTCTTGTGCTTTTGATGCGGCTTGTGCTTACGGTGTTTATGTTGTGCACCGTATTGATAGTGGGTTGCCGAACATCCGTCGTTTCGATGCGAGAACCCTAGTCTGTGAGACAACTATCCGTATATTGCTGTTCGCTGACGACTGTGCGTTGTTTGCACACAGCGCGGATGGGTTGCAGCACATGACTAGTGCTCTGGCTTCGACAGCGGCCAAATTCTGGCTCACCATCAACACAAGCAAAACCGTCTGTCTCCTTCAGTCTTCACCGGAGGTGCAATCTTCAATACTGCTGCCAATCGGCCTTGGTGC